CACCGTTTTCAGTAGCCGCACCCATGGAACCACTACAGTATCACTACGGGGTATTAATTCCATCGACTGCGTTTTACAAATTGCCTACCTACATAGTCTCACCGGATATTAAACGGAACAAATCAAGTGCGAACTTTTAAATTTTATCCACGCGCCTGAAAGATACACTTATTTCTGGTATTTAGTGTCTCCAAAATGTTGACATAAAGTTTTCGCATATCCAACATAAATAAGAAAGTTGTAAATGGCATGCAGAAAAATTTGTTGTAGCATTCAGAGAGTTTTTGTAGATATAAACACTAAAAATATCAGGAGCATTGTCACTTTTTCTTGGGATAAATAAAGATGTTATTTCAAACAATGACCTCGAGAGTTGTAAATTTTTTTTGTTTATGATTTCCGCAAATTGGATTTAGTGATGCAATAGTATCTGGTCAAAATAGATTTAGATAAGAATCATCCTTACCTATAACACTCAAGACATCCGATTTGGTTGGCTTCTAGCTAGACTAATATTCGAAATTAATATTAGAATACAAATTTTCAGTTGTCAGTGAACTACTTAACAAAGGCGACATCGTTCCCTCGAAAATTACATGCCCATGCAATATAAAACTACGTCCGACAGACGAACTAATAAAGTAAAAGCTTTATAAAGTACCTCAAATTCTCTCTTGTATCTGCAGTGCCCTGAATTGTTAACTCAAAGACACTCTAACTTACAATACTGCTGAATTAAATTTCCTGCAAACGACCTGGTGACTTAAAAAAATCCTAATAATTTGGGAATCTATGTAAATACACGGAGATTCCCGTACAATAGTGTTTTCCTTTCAACAGGCTGTGTTTGTGGGATTTCTAATTTAGCAAAATATGTTTTTGAGGCGATTTTCTTCACAATCAGGTCGTTTCACTGGGTAGCTTTTTTAATTACCTTGCAACCGGCTCATAGACCCATCATTTTCGTGGTCATTTTCTGACTTGTCTTACACTTGATTTTTAAAATAACAATTGACTCTCACAGGAAGGAAGACAAGACAACACTCTCCCTCGCCCTCACCTTTCTGATGCTATGGACCACCAAAAATTCTTACTAAAATCTACGAACACGGATAATATTCACTATAAAATATTATATCACGGATTCATTGTAATGTATTTATTGCCACAGTGAATTAATTAAGCCTAAAAGACGAACAAATTGACATTAGGGACGCCAGTTGAGCGTTCTTAAAAAGTAACAATCCAATTTCGTGGTTTTTAACGTCATGATTGGACGCGGGTGGACGCAAACAGCGAAATTCCGTAAATGTTACAGACCTTGTCAGCACAGAGGTTTAGAACACATAGAGGAAATACTACATTTGTATTACTGACAAAATTAACAACTACAATGCAAATTGTCATCAAAATAGGTCACCAGTGCTTCACACTTAAAGAAACGTCTGGAAATTAACACAAAGAGAATGTTCGAGCGCATTCTATGTGGCAAAATAAGTAGTAAAGAATGTCTACATTGTATTCTTGACCGCAAATTATAATTATTTCTTGGTTGTTTAACCGAAACAATAGTTTTGTTTTTGTTTTTATACACTTGTGTCTATAGTGCGTGTTGCGTTCCGTCTTACCTACGTTTAAATTGGTCCGTTGATTTCACAGCTGTTCAGGAAATACTTCATTTACTTCTTTTCTTTATGCAAATGACTTCCTTCCGCCGACAAAAAAGGGTGTCTTGCCGCACCAACTAGACTTTTGTAAAAAAAAAAAAAAAAAATGGTTATTTTTAATGTGCAAAACAACAACTTTGCACGACTTCCAGCACACGTTTTAGTTAGATCCTTTGCACAATTCTGAACACAACAAACGCGATATTTCCCATTCTCGTCCCCAAAGCCCCTCGCTCGTTACGAATTCAGCCGAGTAACTCTGGGGACGACAATGGATATTAAGTATTGACCGCTCCAGAAATACCATAACATACCATAATGCTCTTTGTTTGTCACTCCAACATTTTGCATAAGCATTGTCTTAAGTTTCTCTTGGGAGTTAAAATGGCCCCAAGAGAAACTGAAAACAATGCTTATGCAAAATTTGGGGTGACAAACAAAGAGCATTATGGTATGTTATGGTATTTTTCTGGAGCGGTGCTTAGAGAGCAATGTGAGAGCGCTTGTTTTGTTGAATTTCAGAGGTAACGTAGCAAAGCACAATATTTTAAAATCTACTCATTAAAATGTGACGAAATTTGGCAGAAATCCCGTTCATATCGCACACCTGTCAATGAAAGCCTCAAAATAAAAGTTGAACAAAGGAGTTTTGAGACACAATCAAGTTTCTCATCAAAGCTATTTTCTTAAAACTTTCAAAAACTGTTTGTCATAATTTGGTTAAGATGTTTTTTTTAAAAACATGAGGGTTACCAATTGTAAGCTGTCTGGCAAATCTAATGACTGAGTTTTCGTAAACCTATCATAAATTCAAAATTTTTCGCTTCTTTTCAATCATCCACGTTGCCATGGAAACGATCTAAATCTTACAGTTTGATCAGATGAATTTAATGTCATGTCTGTATTTTTTCCATGCCAAATTTGAGCTTGGGGTTGCTAAATTTGTCACTGAAGTTCATCAGAAGCACATAGACCAATGATTCTGAGTTCATAAAATTGCGATTTATAGATTCATAAGAGCGCCATAGTTGTTAGTTCAAATTTGATTGCTTTTATTATAAATATATAAACGGATCGAGGCTTCGCTTTTAGCCCTGGCTAAATCCATATATTAAAATTGCGATTTACAGAATCATAAGCGCGCCCTCTTTGATTCGAGAGCTCGTGCGCTACAGACATTCTGGTCTTTTCCCGCCAAAAAATTAACTGCTATAAGCCACTTACTCCTCCACGAGTCACTCCTCAGAATATCTGGACAGCGTAATGCGATAGTCTTCATTACGAGTTGGTGTCGATATTGAGCAGCACCGTAATTGCTAGTGATTGGTGCATTAATTGAGTTCAGTCGTGGTTATTGGGTCTCCATCCGAAGCATTGCTTACATTTGGTGTTCCCTAGGCGGTTCGCTGATAGTACTTCACCGATCTACTGCTGCAGCAGTGTTGTCTGATCGAAGGTATTCACGCTTTTTCTGAAATCTCAATTCCACCGTCTCTGTTAGGCAAAAATACCACCGGTAAGCCGCACTGGATTACACCATGACGTGTAAAGAATTCATTGTCGCGGCAGGTGAAATCAAAGTTTTATGATCTGTAGTTGCTTAAATTACATTAAAACTGTTTCACTTCTGACCTAGGGTAGCTCTTCAAAAGCTAGCTGTTATTGACCCTTCCTCAATGGTTACCGCTCAATACAAGTTTCAAATGCGTATCTTTTTTGTGACCACTGACTTTACTATTCATTCATAAAAGATATGCTAAGCGTCATTAAAAATAATATACCATTAATTCTCTTTCGCATGTTCCTGGCTTTAAATTATTTCAAACTTGGCCTTGAGGACCCAAGGTTTGATTAGAGCTCTGAATTGATTTTCTCGGGCATAGTTTCTTTTCGCAACTGCATAAGTAAAGTATAACTGTGATTATCTTGCTCGCATTTGTTTAGAGTTTCTTAAGTTATTTGACGCCCCACGTAAGGAAATCCAAGACAGTCTGGGATAGTCTGCAGGATTCCACCGCTGAGATTCCGGATTTCAGGTACTGGATTCCGGATGCCTAGTCAGTGAAACTTGGATTCAGGATTCCACTCGTTCTTGGGATTTCTTATTTCTTGAGCTCAGTCAGTTAAGGATTTCACAAGCAAAAACTTCCGGGGTTCAGGAATCCGGATTACCTTAATATATGCATGCAGGAGCCAATTTACATCCTGATGCGTGGTGGTAAATTGCTATCTAAGTCTTAACCCATTCGCTCCTGGAGATTTTGCCGAAAAACGCGTTTTGAAGCTAGTCGAGTGGATATCTGGTCACTGTCGTGCTATAAAGAGCTAAAACTTACCACAAACCGGTCTACAGGTCGTACACTTGGCGGCCTTCTGATCCAGATGCAAAATATCAGCTTGCGAAGTTCGGGCATGCGCAGAAAGCAAAATTTCGTTTTTGGGTTTAAAAGTGACACAGCAGTCTTGACTTTTACTTTTCGCTTTCTCTCCTCCCTTCTTTTTTCGCTTTTCTTGCCTCATTTTTTTTT